AAAGGAATTCGAGAGGTAATCACTACAACCAAGAGTGCTTATGTGATACTTAGATGACTACTTTGCACTTTGGTCATATGGTAAAGAAAATATAAAGGAATTCCTCAATTTCATTAACAAAATTGATGAAAGAATTAAATTCATTGTGGAGATGGAGGAAGACGAACGACTACCCTTTCTGGATACTGAAATCATGCGCTCCAACGGAACACTGAAGAGGAGACTATACAGAAAGAATTTATATGCGGAAATAATCTTTAATTTTCAGTCTCACCGTAAATACAGACTGAAGATGGGAATACTGAGGAGTTTGATCATCAGAAGCTTACGACTAACGGACACTGAGCTCTGGGACGAGGAGTTGGACAAACCGACACGGATTTGCCTTAGTAACGGATATCTCAGAGAATTTATAGAAAAAAATGTAGAGGTTATAAAGGGGAGATTTTAACTCGGATTTTATGAAAATCAGATCAGTAATTAGAAGGACGACCAGAAGTGGATTTGTCTGCCCTCATCAGAACTGAGCCAACAATTGCGGCAATGGGATATCAAAGTAATAACAAAGGAGAAGAAAACACTTTTCACCAGTCTGCCGACGCAACACGAGAAGACGGACAAACTTGATTGCTCGTGAGTTTGTCGCATCAAATGCAGCTACTGTGAACAGTAGTATATCGGTGAAAGAGGAAGAAAAATCGGCCTATGAATCAAGGAACATCAAATATTCTGTAGGAACATGGATACGAAAAGATCCGAAATAACGGAACACATTGCACGAACGGGGCACGAAATCGACTAAATGGTTGGCTGCATATGGTGAAAATACGAGAAAACGCAAGATCCGAGAGGCCATCGATATAATGACCGAGAGAAATCTAATGAACAGGAGACTTGAAGAAGGCAGAATCAGCGAAAACTTTGCATATTGCCTAAACAAACTCGGAGAAGACTAGGCAACAGTGAGATCAGCAAAAAGAAGACAACTGGATCAAGATAATATCCCTAATTTTAGGAAAAGAGATCGCAAGGGGACGAAAAAGGAACAATCGGAAGCAAAGAGGAGACGTTTTAAGTGAGCCTAATCAAAACATGTAGAACAACGACAATTGTGGGTTGACACACAAGATACTAGGACATAGGAAGTGATAAACATGGTATTACAGATAGAAACAGGAAAGACGCGGTGGTGACTAAAGCTATTTGGCTAACAAAGGACATGATCCTTGAATCACGACTATTATTAGCCAACTAGCTCTAGCTTCCACTGCTTCTATCCTCTTTCTATCTATGATACCAAGTTTATGACTTACTATGCCCTAGTCTCTTGTGTGCCAACCCACAAACGTTGTGGTTAAACAATGAACCTACTCAAAACAAGCAGTACCACAACATTTGTGGGTTGGCCCACAAGAGACTATGGCATGTAAAGTCATAGACTTGGTATTAGGGATAGAAACAAGATAGACGGTGCGGAGACTGCAGTTAGTTGGTTGACAGTAGGCCTTACCAGAGACGTGGTCAATGTAGCAAAGGCTTGACGATGAGACTTACCCAGAGGCTTGAGCCTCCAATCAGTAACCCAGACGCAAGGGAGGGCGAATAACGCCTCGAGTCACACAAATAGGGTGGCAGGTGTCGAGGGAAATACGTGAACCAGGGAGAGAGCAGACGGATCTTATGGGACCAGAGAGAGACTGTGATAAGACCTATGGAAGGAGGACCGCGTAGCAATATGGTAGACTCTGATCAACATTTCCAGCACAAGGGTGAATGGAGTGAGAATGGCAGCGTGGAGTGTGAAGAGTTTTCATGAATGCCGCTCAAAGGAGCACACCGCTACATCGAAATAAGCACGGTAAACACACCACATTACATTTAAATAAGCGAGAAAAATAAATAAAAGTGATAGTGAAGGCGTGATAGGAGGATATAGGAGGATATAGCCCAGGGCAGAATGGGAGATACCACAACAGTTTAGCACACGTTTGGTCAAAGGATTGGATTCACTATCTCTAGTTATCTCGAGTTATTGTGTGGTGCTAAGAATGGCGATATTCATTGACGATGCCGGAGAAACGTCTGGGAATGTACCACGTCCACGGTCCTACTCTGGAAATGATCATGCATACAATGGACTCTGGACTAGTTGCGTCCCTGTAAGCCTTCTTACCAATATGATCAAGTTGCGAAAACAAGGTCAAACAACTTCTATATAGTGAAAGGAGACTGCGACCATACAAAAGGCCACACGATCTTGGTCTTCATAGCTTATATCCAAAACTTGAGACTTATTTCGGAGGCTATTTCATCTTTTGGGCTCTAATTTTGATTTTGTATTGGTGGTCATATCCATATCCAAATAATACACATGTTTCCCATTTTAAACTATGATATAAATAAATTCATACCACTTATTTTCCTTTTCCATCAGGTTGCCAAAGTAGTGATGGACGACTCTGAGATGGATGGATGGGTCTTTGCGCTAGGTCGGCGCCGAAGACTTCTGGGACTGCAAAAGGAACACTTCGATTTGGCCACATATTGCCCTGGTGCACCTATTCCTATTCACCACCTTAGCAATTGTGAATTTATTTCTTTTGGAGGCAGTTCCTACAGCCGGAGTTCTACTGTTTCCGGTGGTGCTACTGGATCCGGGGACTCTAGTGTCAGTATCGGTGGGAACACTGGCAGTGGTGGTTCGAAGACTGCTGCTTCTTCTGATGCCTTTTGTGTTTTAAGCGAGTCCTCTGAAGTTACTGCTGCTCTTCTTAATCCTAAAGTAAGCATGGAACGGAAGCTCTAATTGTTCAGTATTCTAAATTATCTCGTGCTGAGCTGCACTATCTTTTGACTTTTTAGTCTTAGCGTCACGTCACACAGTATTGGTGGTCAAATTTTAACCAAAGTCGATGTTTAGATTCATGGTAAAATACTTAGACCTATTCAGAATATTCAAATGATATATGCTAAGTTTGGTTGTTTCGTTATCCTTCTTGAAAGCTTTAGAACCTACGCGTACAAGATTCAAAATTGTAATACTGGGGAATATGTCCATTTTCATGTATTCAATGGATTTAGTAATTGATTCAAATGTGAGGAGGTTCGGTATATTCTTTTTTACAGTGAATTTTATATTGGTTTTTATCTTTTTTTTAAGCTACCCATATAT